AGCAAAAACATCAACTGGTAACTATGAAAACTAAGTTGTATATGTTGAGTAGAGAACAGAAGTTATTTCCAAATCGAAGTACAGGAAGCTTTAAAATGCTTGTTCATCCTTTATCAGCATTACTGAATGAATCAGCAAGTTACAAAGGTCAGCAAACCTTTATTTTGAATTACAACAATAGCATATATTTCCAAGAATATAGAAAAATGCAGGTGTAATGTAGGAATCTAAATTTGGTGTTGACAAATTAAGAGAATTTTAAATCTGGAAGGTTCCTTGGGTGGTGGTGTATTTTACCTTTTAGGTTTGAGAAATGTTAGAAGGTCACTGACAAGATGTTAGAAGGATGTGTGCCAGTCTTTAGTCATTATGTTATTGGGTGAAAATGGATAAGTGACCACTTAGATGGTTTTCAGAATTAGGAAAATTGATTTTCACATTAACTTTCGGTAGTACCCCATGCTGATGAGGCCAAGGTCATGGTGTCTTTGTTCATGCAAGTCAGTTGTACTGGCTTTGTTTATAGTTGCCAAGTCTTGTTCTTCTTTGGCCAGTTGTCTTGCAGATACGTTTTTGGCTCTCAGAGGTAGACTCCCTTTTGCTGCTCCTGACTCTGGGAAAGCTATCCAAGGACTTTCCTCTGAGTGCTTGGCTTAGTGGCATTGTTCCTATATATACCAGAATAGCTGATTGCACTGTTTGGAAGAAAATGTAGATGATCTACATTTTGGATTTGTAGTAAATATGTGAAGTCATTCATTCAGAAGCAAGTTCCTGCATTGAGTCAGGTACGGTTATGTTATGTGCTTGAGTTATGGCAGAAAACAAGTCAGATGAGATTTTGACATTTAAGCTGAGACCTGAAAGGTGAGTAGTTAGTCAGCTGAGGAGTAGAAGTACAGTTACCAGGCACAGTGTGTTCAAAATCCCAGAGGTCGAGAGGAGCTTGGTTCCCTCGGGCAGGAAGAAAGCATGGTGAGGCTAGAGAATAGCAAGAGAGGGAGACAGAAGCTCAAGGCTGGATTAATGCAGGTCTGGAGGATAGGCTAAAGATTTAGAATTGATCATAAGAAATTTGGAAGACAATGTTGGGTTTCGGCAAGGGAGAAATCACTTTGATGTGGGAGAATAATTTGGAGGGGATCTAGAGGGGCTTGAGGGGGATGAAGCTTTTGTTATTATTAAAATTATTAAGAGCAGCTGATATTTTCCTGTTTGTTTGCTATAGGCCAGGCACTATTCTAACCCATTTACCCTCATTGTCCGTTAATACCTCATGACAATCCAGTGAGGTGCTGTTGTTACCCTTATTTTACAGGTGAGGAAACCAAGACCTGGCAAGGTTAAGCAGCTTGCCCAAAGGTCATATAGCTAGATAATGGCAGAGCTGGGATTTGAACCTAGGATAGTGTGTGATTCCAGACCCTGTGTGTTAGCCACTGGGCTGTTTTCCATGCGTGAGATGATGGTCCATTAGTGGCTCTTGAAATTGAGTGAATCACAACTGGAATTTTTTTTTTTTTTTTAAATAGAACAGAGTAGAAATTAGAATACTTTGCACTAGTAAGGATAGAATATTGATATGTGAAACCTAGTTTCACTTTTTATTTAATATGTTTGTACATGGGTATGCTTAGAAGCCATTACAGAAGGCTGAGCAGCATTTGCCTAGAAAAGAGCCAGTGACGTCTTAGACCAGAATTGTGGCAGGGCAGACGGAGAGAAGTGGGTCACCGTGTGTAGAGGCAGAGGTAGTAGGTCCCAATGAGAGATTGCATGCAGCGGCGGAAGGAGGTGTCGCGATGGGTCCCAGGGTTCCAGTGCGGGGAGCAAGATGAGTCATGGCATCCATATGCTCAGTCCACTTGAGTGAGACCCTTCTTGGGTCCTCTTGAGTGGCTGTTTGTTGTACTACCTGGGTCTCTGGCTTCTCTCAGCTGCAGCTGGGGCTTGAGGTTGGCCTGTCACCCAAATCTGTATCTCACAGCAAATCTGTAAGCTGGCTGTGAACTTACGGTCTGTCACCCCAAATGCCTAAACTGGAGGGCTGAGCCAAGAATAAATTCTTTCTGGAATTCGAGATGAGTAGTGAGGATACACATGTGGGCTGACGGCAGCTCTAAAGTGAAGGTATGGGAACTGTTTTTGCTGTAGTTTCCTTGAGAATCAGAGTACTTTTAGGTTGCAGTGTTGAAGAGTCCAGAGTCCTCTTTTTGAAGTTCAGGTCCAGTTCATTTGCTCCTGGTGACCTGGGAAGCCCATTTCCCTATTTTCATGCACAACCTTTTAGTAATACCTGGCTCCCCACAGTACTGCAGTGACTTTCTATACTGTGTGTTCAGCAGCTACTAACTGGAGACAAATATGGAGTAGTCAGGTGCTTGGTACAAATCCTCATTCTTCGTCTTACTGGGTTTTTGACCACGGCCAAGATACTTCTTACTGAGCCTCAGTTTCCTTATCTGTAAGGTTGGGATGATATAAGAGCATCCATGTCATGGGGCTATGGTGAAGAGTAGGTAAGATAAGCTGTGTCAGCACCTCAGGCCAGTGCCTCATACAGAATAATAGCTTAGTGAATATTTGCTGTTAGTTGTTAGTGTTTTTTAGGGTAGTTTCTCGAAGACTTAAGCATATTTATGAGCAAAGTCTAATGGGAAGAAGCTAGCATAGAAAGTTTGGACATACGTGAGAAGAGAGTGTTAAGAGAAGGTCCTGGATTCCAGAGAAGCAAGGATGGTATAAGGTCAAGAGCAGACATTGAGGACTGTTTTCAATAGGAGAGGGAACCTGTGGAGGTGGTGTGTGTGTGGGGGGGTAATATTTTCTGAGATTGGATAACCTGTGAGAAAAGTGGGCTACTCGGAAGGCTGTTGTGGAGAACAGGCTATCAGGGCACACAAAAGAACTGATGAACAGTGCTGAGACCATGAATTTATAGTGACACCAGCCTGTGTGTGTTTATAGTTTTGCCTGGCTATGCGGTGTTTGGCAGAACGAAGAGATGTTAGAGTAAGATTAGTCTAGTTTTAAGGGTTTGCAAGGCAGATGCCAGAAAAGAATAAAGAGACTGAGGACTTGGGTGCAGGGACAGAGAAAGGTAAGCTTTTGAGTCTGGCTTGGCTGGGGAAGGTGTACATAGTCTTAGAGAAAAGTGGAGGGCAGAGTGGTGTGTGGTACCACATAGACAGGGTACATGATCTCTTTGAATGATGGTTTCTTACTATTCCTAACGTTAATTCCTTGTGTTGGTAACTGAAATATTAAGACAGATTGCTAAAGGGAATTTACTCTTTCGAGTGGGCACAACCCAAAAGTTAATTCAGTTCTAGTACCTAATTTTGAAGTTGCCATGATTTTATGTGGTGTGCTGAATCAGTGAATGATAGGTTGTGAGCCTTAACCTAGGGTAGAGTTTAGCCACATAATGAGACATTTTATTTTCATTGACTCCTTCTGAGGAACTTAACATTTTAGCTATATTGAGCACTTCAAAGATAGACACCTAAGTAGGATAGAATTTATAAATGCATTTCATGTGTTTGTGACTAAAACAGCCTGTCTTTGAGGCAGAAGTCACCCGTGATCTGGGCCTGGTGTGCCTGAACTTTAGTAGTCCTCTTGTCTCCTTTCATTTTTGTTTGGAGTGTAACGAATCTGGAAACAATAACATTTATTTAGTCACTGAACTTTTGAGGACCTTCTTGTTTCAGGCAGTGAGTTAGTTCAGAAGAACAAAAGTGAATGACAGGGATGATACCTGTGAGGAGTTTCTCAGCCTGATCATCATGCCACAGAGGGGTATGCACACACTCCTTGGGGGTGCTCACCACTGGCCATTATACTCTGAAAGAAAATACTAGAACTTCTCTTTTAATTTCCTAGTCTCTGTGTGTTTTATAATATGTAATATATAAGAATAGTACATGATTGAAATATGTAGACATACATATATTGTGGCTACCCTTCTTGCTAGTCGTTTATATATGATCGAAAATGGCATTTATTATATGTCATAATATTTAAAACATTTAAAATATGGTATATTTAAAAATATATACACATTTTTGATATATTTAAACATTTTGAGAAAACTAAGAGTTTCTTTGTATGGTAAAGCATGTTCTTAATGATGAAATAGTTGTACTTGTTGCCTCTGTTTTGTAGTGTAAAGCAAGACTTGTTCTATAAAAAGACTTGTTAAGATCTGGCTTGACAGATTTGAGTCTTTTTCTCAAGTCATTTTCTTCCTTATGTTGGAGGACCTTTCCTTATGTAGAATGTGTCCCTTACTACAAAGCACCAAAGCCTCCTACCAGCTGTCAAATGTTGGGGAAGGGGGCATGGAGAATGGTGGAATGCCATCTGCCTGTTCTAGTGTCAGTCCCCGCCCAAGGGTGACCTCTGGGGAACTATGCACACACGCCCATTAATGTCATGAAGCAACAGGGTTAGGATGCCACCCAGAAATTTCCCTGACCCAGTCTGTTCACTCATTGGAGGTGTTTTCTCAGGGTGAAATGTCTTAACTTTCAGAGAGCTATGAAATCCTTGGTTCAAAAAGTTCTTGTCTCCCTCATCTCGAGATCCTTTTTCCTAAAATTAGGAAACCTAACTAAAAATGGCTGTGAAGAACCTATTTTATTTTATTTTTTTAAAGATTTTATTTATTTGACAGAGAGAGACACAGCGAGAGAGGGAACACAAGCAGGGGGAGTGGGGGAGGGAGAAGCAGGCTTCCTGTGGAGCACAGAGCCCGATCCGGGGCTCGATCCCAGTGAGCCGAAGGCAGACGCTTAACGACTGAGCCACCCAGGTGCCCCAAGAACCTATTTTAAATGAAATAAATTAATAAATGTGTCTAGGTTCTCTAGAGACTTTTGTTTTCATTTTTGTTTTTGTGATGAATATTTTAAGTTATATTTGACACTGTCGTTTTAAAAAATATTTTTAACAAGACTTCATCCAAGTGAAATCTTGCATGTGTTTTTGCAGGTTTGATGACGACTAGAAGCATGCTTTCACTGAACTTCCCGACACCATTTGTTACACAGAATGTCTCTGAGTGAGAACGCGGTTTTTGCCTATGAATCTTCGGTGCACAGCACCAATGTCTTGCTCAGCCTCAACGACCAGCGGAAGAAGGACGTGCTGTGTGACGTCACTGTCCTCGTGGAGGGCCAGCGGTTCCGCGCCCACCGGTCTGTGTTGGCGGCATGCAGCAGTTACCTCTACTCGAGAATCGTAGGCCAGGCCGATGCAGAGCTTAACATTACTCTACCAGAAGAGGTGGGAGAGAGGTCCATGGTTCTGGAAGTCACCCTGCTTTTAATTTAATTGAACCTAATTAAATCTCTTTATGGTTTATAAAGTTGAAAATAAAACTGTGTCCTTCTTGTCATGAGGCTGAGGAGCAATTCCCAGGTTCTGCAACAACTCATTTCTTTAACTTTTTTCATGGAAATTATGACATTTTACATGTAGAATTGTTAGTTTGGGATGTTAGTTAACAATAGTTATTGAGCAGTTGAATAATTTGACCCACTGTTATATTACCCTTTTTTTTTTTTTTTTTTTTAGAGAGAGCATGTGCATAGGGGAGGAGCAAAGGGAGAGGGAGAAAGAGAATCTTAAGCAGGCTCCATGCCCAGAGTGGAGCCCAAGGTGGGGATTGATCTCAGGATCCTGAGATCATGACCTGAGCTGAAATGAAGAGTCAGTCGCTTAACTGATTGAGCCACCCAGGTGGCCCTCTGTTACTTTCTGATAAATGACCAAAGCAGGGCACAGCCAGTGGATCGTAGACATTGGGAGAAGTCATGCTCAGAGTCATGGCTATAGTATGTCACATTCTCTCCCTTTGGACCTTTTCCTGTGAGGGGAAACTGAGTGGGTTTAGGGTTCTAAAAATCATCCATTTTTCTAAGACACTGGCTCATGGAAAGTAGGTACTCCATAAGTGTTCTATTGCCCCTTTCTTCTTTCTTGATATTGTTTCTGTGCATTGGTAAACAAAAGATGATTTTGTGTCGTAATTATAGAGCTTGGTTTTTTTTTTTTTTTTTTAAAGATTTTATTTATTTATTTGAGACAGAATGAGAGAGAGAGAGAGCACTTGAGAGGGGGGAGGGTCAGAGGGAGAAGCAGACTCCCTGCCGAGCAGGGAGCCCGATGCGGGACTCGATCCAGGGACTCCAGGATCATGACCTGAGCCGAAGGCAGTCGCCCAACCAACTGAGCCACCCAGGCGCCCTATAGAGCTTGGTTTTACACATGTCTTTCCCACCAGCATGTTGTGGAGCTCAAGCACTTAAATGTTTCTGTCCTTGTTATGTCCTGCCTCCAAGAGACCTCTCAGGTCGGGGAAGTGCTGGTCACACTTACTCTTAATAGAACAGCTTGCTTTAATTTAGTGAGTAACTGTAACTAGAAGAGTGTTGAGCCTTGTGGCATTGGGACACAAAGTAGCGGTTGTTAAGAGGAGTTTGGAGGAAGTATGTAGAACTTTTTTGTTTCGGACAGGCCTGTGCGGGCTACTCTGTGATGGATACTAAGCCTACAGTTTAGCTTATGCTGGTCACCCATGCTTCCATGAAATTGTACAGTTTGGGGAATCAACAGACTGTCACTTCTGTGGCAGAGGTCAGTGAATAAGGCAATACCAAGAAAATGATAAAGGCCAACTATAGGTTAGCCATTGTTTTTAAAAAGTAACAACACATATCTTAATGGCAGTGTTTAATGTCTTTACCTCATGTGAGTAAAACCGTTAATTCATGTGTCTTTAAAAGTGGAATCTATAAAGTGGAGGGTATGGTTCTAATGAATGGGGTCTGTTAAGCATGCTTTTCCAGACTCCTAATTAGCTTTACATTTTCTAGAAGAATATTTTTACTTACCAAATTAAAAGACCTGTTTTTATAATGATCACAAAGAAGTTCTTCATCTCTCTATTCCCCTTCTACTTTTATTTATCTACTAGACCACTTTAAGTGATGCATTTGTTTTTATTTTGTATATTAACAGGTGACAGTTAAAGGATTTGAACCTTTAATTCAGTTTGCCTACACTGCCAAACTGATTTTGAGTAAGGACAATGTGGATGAAGTGTGCAAGTGTGTGGAATTTTTAGGTGTACGTGACATTGAGGAATCCTGCTTTCAGTTTCTCAAATTTAAGTTTTTGGACTCCACTGCTGACCAGCAAGAATGCCTAAGAAAAAAATGTATCCCGTCACACTGTCAAAAAGCAGACCTTAAATTTTCACTTTTGGACCAGAGGGATTTAGAAATTGACGAAGTGGAGGAATTTTTGGAAAATAAAAATGTCCAGACTCCTCAGTGGAAACTGCATAGATATCAGGCAAATGCAAAAGTATCATCTCCTCTGCAAGACAGTGCCAGTCAAACCTGTGAATCCATGTGCTTAGAAAAGGATGCTGCTCTGGCTTTGCCATCTTTATGCCCCAAATACAGAAAATTCCAAAAAGCTTTTGGAACTGACAGAGTCCGTACTGTGGAATCCAGCGTCAAAGACGTTCATGCTGCTTCTGTTCAGCCAAATGAGACATCTGAAAATGAGTGTCTGGGAAGAATCCAGGACTGTGCAGATCTGCAGGTGATTCTGAAATGTGAAGAAAGTAAATTAGCAACAGAACATGAAGAAACCAGGAAGAAAGATCCTGCTTCTCAGTGCCCATCAGAAAAATCAGAAGTGACTCCTTTCCCCCACAATTCTTCTGCAGACCCTCATGGGCTCTATTCTCTGTCTCTTTTACACACATATGACCAATATGGTGACTTGAATTTTGCTGGAATGCAAAACACGGCAGTGTTAACAGAAAAGCCTTTGTCAGGTACAGAGGTTCCAGAGGAGAAAACATTTGGTGAAAGTCAGGATTTACATTTGAAATCTGACTCTGGCCCCAGGGAAGACAGTAGCCTTGCCTCCAGCGATCGGAGTAGTGTGGAACGAGAAGTGGCAGAACACCTAGCAAAAGGCTTCTGGAGTGACATTTGCAGCACAGACTCTTCTTGCCAAATGCAGTTATCACCTGCTGTGGCCAAAGATGGTTCAGAACAGATCTACTCACAGAAGCGGTCTGAGTGTCCCTGGTTAGGTATCAGGATCAGCGAGAGCCCAGAGCCAGGTCAGAGGACTTTTACAACGTTGAGTTCCGTCAACTGCCCTTTTATAAGTACTCTGAGTACCGAAGGCTGTTCAAGCAATTTGGAAATTGGAAATGATGAGTATGTTTCAGAACCCCAGCAGGAACCTTGCCCATATGCTTGTGTGATTAGCTTGGGAGATGACTCTGAGACCGATACTGAAGGTGACAGCGAACCCTGTTCAGCCAGAGAACAAGAATGTGAGGTGAGGGGAAAATGTGTGTGTTGCTAAGTCCTTGTTTTACCACTGTTAATGGGGATTCACTCTGTCAGCTCCTGTTGCACCACTAGGGACATAGGAGCAGGCTCAGGGAGAGGGGATGAAACCCACAGACAGTTATAAAACTATGTGAACAGTACCCAAAGAGTGTGACGAAGTTTGAAGGACTTCTGTGTTCATATATTTCAAGCAAGTATATTTATGTTTGCCCTGGAGTGGATTCACACATTGGCTGTTTAACTGTTTAAATCAAATACCATGTCCCAAGAGGAAAAAAAATAATGATTCTGTGATTGTTACATGGTAACTCCTGGAAAAATGCAACATATATTCCGATCTTATTCATTGCCACAGGATCTCTGGACTAGTCACTTAACAGTGATTTAGCAGTGACTAGGTGTAGGAATGTGCCTTCTAATGCAGAGTTTTCTTTGCCTTAGTTTTTCAGAGCCATTAATTTTTTTCTTATTTTCCCTTAGCCATTTCAGCCATTAATTTAATGTCTTAATAATTTGGTATGAGTTACATGTAGCTGGTACGGTATTAACCTTACCAAGCATGATCTGTGTACTTTGTGTACAAATGTTCATATTTGATAGCTGCTTTTTTTTGTAAAACATTACCATAATTCCAGTAATAATAAAGGCTTGTTGGTTCTTTATCATTTTCTTTAGTTTTCTAGCTGTTGGATGACATGAGTTTAAAAAGGGGGACAGAGGTTCTTTTTTTTTTTTTTTTAACCCCCCTTGGCTTTGGAAGGAGGTTATTGGTGATTTAATTTAAGAAGTAATATGAATTCATGAGTTATAGCTGGAGATTTGTTTATGGCATTTGTAAATCCAGTGTTTGGAACTATGAAAAGAATGTTAAAAAATAAGACATTTAAGGAATTGTAAAACATTTTGTATAACTAGTTTCTCTAGTTTGAAAGACAAATTAAGTAGGTTGCCAGAGAAACTTGATCAATGTTTTATAAGCATTTTTGATAATTAATATAATTGTCACACAGTGACTCTTTATTTAAAAAAATTATCTTCTCCTTTTTCTCAATTTAAGTATGTTGAAAATGACTTTAAAATATTCATAAGGCTTTTCTAACCATTTCTATATTGGAAAGTGAAATGTGTAGATTTTTAAGTTGAGTTACGTGAAACTATTCTCTTGACAGAAAACTTAATTTTCTGAAATGCTTTAGAAATTACTAGTGTAATTATACCAGTGTTAAATGAGTGCTACACAGTAAAATAAATCAAAGTACAAAATAGATTTTTTTTTTTGTTTGGTTAAACACGTTAGAAACACCTTAGAAAGAGGCTTAAAGATATCTGTGGGGTATTAACATACTCTAGTAAAAGAACTTAAGTTCTCTTTTTTTATTTTAAATGCATGAATATTTGTGTTAATATTTTTGATTTGCTAAAAAAATGTGCTCTCAATTTTCTTGTCTTCTGAACTCTCTAAAATAGTCTAGAAATATCAAATTATCATTCTTTATTATAAGGGATTATATAGAAATCTGAAATAGAGGTCTGTTTTTTTTTTAAGTCTAAATGAAGTTCTCTGGAAAATATAGGTGTGTATCTTCCTCTTCCTAGATTTAAGTATAACTCCATAGTACGGCAACAATTACTAATGTTTATTTTACATTCTAGGTAAAACTGCCATTTAATGCACAACGAATAATTTCACTCTCTCGAAATGACTTTCAATCCTTGTTGAAAATGCACAAGCTGACTCCAGAACAACTGGATTGTATCCATGATATTCGAAGAAGAAGTAAAAACAGAATTGCTGCACAGCGCTGTCGCAAGAGAAAACTTGACTGCATACAGAATCTTGAATCAGAAATTGAGAAACTGGTAAGTATACAAGTTTCTTACTTAGATTCCACCACATTCATTCATTCTTTCTTTTTTATAGCGGAAATCGCCATTTCAATTCCTGAGTCAGATGTAATGCTCAGAATTTACCAATTTTGAGAAAATATATGACATTTTTAGAAAGCTTAAGAAATAAGAAAATGAGAGTTTTCATAGACTATTTTACTTATGTGAGTATTCTACGTGTTTGGTGTGATATGCTATAATATGTAAATTGAGAACTATTTGTGGGCACTGTTTTTTAATGATATACAAATTAAGGATAATTTTACTGTCTACCTAATTCTTTTTTCTTTTAAGATTTTATTTATTTATTTATTTTAGAGAGAGTGCGTGAATGAGCACAAGATAGCACGAGGGGGGTCCACAGAGGGAGAGGGAGAAGCAGGTGCCCCCCCCCCAATCAGGGAGCCCGACAATGTGGGGCTTGATCCCAGGACTCTGGGATCACGACCTGAGCCGAAGGCAGATGCTTAACCAACTGAGCCACCCAGGTGCCCCACTGTCTACCTAATTCTTAGTGGTTGAGTAAAGATTAAAGAAATGGTGAAACACTTTAATCTCGTTGTGCGGTGTTTGGTGTCTATAAAAGCTAATGTTATTCGTTCGTTTAAATGAACTGTAGACTTGAATAACTTGTTTTGGTTGACACGAGAACAAATAAAACAACTTGGATCTTTGATCTAAGGGTAAAAACTCATAATGCTGGTATAAATAGAAAATTTAAGGTCTAATGAGACTCTAAGTGAGAAGAATGCTTACTTTATTGAATCTTGTTATTTATTCCAGCATCAAAACAAATTAATTGAAAAATGGACTAATTTGCACCCAGGTTTCTCTATTTCCTGGTGGTTGGTGGAAGGAAGCATTGTCTGAAACAAGACAGCTGTGGTTAGAGACAGCAGGGAACCAGCACCTAGAAATAGTAAAAACATTCTTTGAATATTTGGTTTTGAGTCTTTGTTAATTATTGGTGAAAGTTTAAAATTATAATTGTAGCAAGTCTTCAAGCACAAACATTCTAGCTATGAATAACAAGCGTACAGCAACATTTTAGTAAAAAGAAACAACCTGTCCAGGAGATGCATCCTTATTTTATGCTGTACCTGGTTGTTACGATAATGTTGTGATTTCCTCTATTGAATCCATCTTTGCCCTCATCACAGAAAAACAAAAGCAAAAATAAAAAAACAATCTGTGCCTTTATATACCTTCAGGAAAGTGGATAAATAAAAACTTGCTCATATATTGTGGTCAGTACCCTGTTTACCTGTTACATTAATTTGGACAGCGGCTGTTAAAGAAACCATCTGAAGCATGAATGAATGACTTAATGAATGCATTTGTTGTAAGGATACAGGTGTGTCTCATATAGAAGCCAAAGAACGGAGCAGGCCTTGTAAGTAGCATAGAACAAGGAAGTGGAAGACTGCCAGGAACTCAGAGAATCTTCTCTCTTAGCCCGTCCGTCTGCACCTGCTCACGTGGAACTCCACACGGTGGCTCTGTGTACCACTAAGTGCACCTGGGAAGAGTGGCTGCAGTATGGCTCCTAAACAGTTTCGCTCTCCTCCAGGATCTAGTGCAGACGGAGACGACAGTTTTAGTTCTAAATTCCCAAGGAGGTGAACATCTAATTGGCTTATTTCGGCTCAGGTGCCTCTTCTGTGACGAGAGAGCAGGGACAAACAGCAGCAACGTGGCTGCCGAGAGCCCACCTCCAGGCAGACAGAGCCAGTAGCCTGCCAGGGATCTGCTCACTCAGATGTGCACCAGTCCGAGCTCAGCCGAGTCCCCATCCTTTCCCCAGTATCGCCTGAGAAGACATGCTAGCTTTTTTTTTTTTTTTTTTTTTTTAAAGCAGAGTGACTTGCCTTGTGTTTTAGCTTCCTTGAACTCTGCCTAGTCCTTCATACTTCTCACAGTTCTAGTGATTTATACGGGTTCACTCCAGTTGCAAAGGGTAAGGGGCACTTGTAAAGTTCAGTCTTGCCACAGATGTCTCTCTTAGGTGAAAATAAGCAGAGAATGTGCTACTTACTAGCTTATAGGAATAAGAAAGCTGGCCCTTTTCCTAGAAGTAAAAGAATTTGAGCCTTAAGGTATTTTATTATATTAAGAAGTTTACTTGGAATTTCGACCCTGGTTATTGGGCGATGTTATGGGTCTTGTCTTTTGTAAAGAGAGAAGGACCAACGGTAGTTACAGCTACACTTCTATCAAAAGTTTGCATTTAGTATATGGGGAGCTGAGAATATGGAGGACTGTGACAGATTTGTTTTTGTTTTTTTTTTTAATCAAGAGGACACTCTGGAAACATGGCAGTAGACAAGCAGTATTTCCCAGTATTTGTAGTCTGGGTGGTACTTTAGCAAACCTATTTAAGGGAAATTACTTGTTTCGTAACCAAACAGCCCATGTTAATATAGCCAGTAACTGATTAGGTTAACATATAAATAAATGCACAGTAAATATTGCCCTGGTCTGGTAATATTCAGGTGAAGGGTCCCATATTTTAGTAAGTTTTAGTCTTTGGCTGTTGGCTATAAACTTTTTGCAGTTTGTCCTAAGAGTAATAGCATAATAGACTGGATGGATCAACACATGAAAAAAAGTGTTTTGATTACAGTAAGAATAGTGATTCTAAAATGTCCTCAATGTGGGTCCATAGAATAGTGATCATGTATAAAAAAACACTTTAATAGTCTTAATGTGCTGGGAAAGCCAAAGGGTGATATTAATTTGAATTCAATAAATCAGTGAGTTGTATTTCTCTTTTTTTTTTTTTTAAAGATTTTATTTATTTATTTGAGACAGAGAGAATGAGAGAGAGAGAGCACATGAGAGGGGGGAGGGTCAGAGGGAGA